CGCATTTCCTTGAAAGGTTCCTACAAGTGGCGCGTATCAATCTAAATTTACCAATTTTTTCAAAACATTTTGAAATAAGGCGGGAAACAATTATTTAGTTTGTATGTTAATACGACTGCTTTGCAATAGTCGTACATGAATAGATTGAAAGACTTACAATCCGAGTAGAGCCATTTCTGTAGAGTGCTTTTGTGCGCAAGTTGATGGATCAAAGAATGTTCCAGTTCAAAAACGCTTTGCTTTGATTAATGAAAGTGGTACCGGTCGTTCTACCGAGTATTGCAAAGCCACGCAACACCTTAATCAAACGTAAGTCGATGCGTTCCCGAATTTACGAAATATTTGTTTCTTTTTGAAATAAATTGGCTGATTTTCTCGTGGGTAGATATTGCCAACGAGGGTGTTAATGTGTCAAAAGTGCTTGGCAATTAATGTGTTATGCAAGCACATACAAGCTACAGTTATTTACTTAAACTCTATCATACCACGGAATTACCTAAAATGTTGCATATCATTTGTGTTACCAATTGAAATAGTGTTTAAATTCTTGAGCACACATGCGGCCACAAGAAAAAAAGACTACCTCGTGCATACACATTCAACCAGGCCCGGCTGTCACAGGCTTACGTTGAATGAACCTGAACTGAAGATAGTGTGACTGTGATTAACAGGTGTGTAGAAGGCTTCCATTAAACCCACACACACGCATACACACGCATACACACTCATACATTCACACGCACACACTCACACACACGCACACACCCATACACATACACACACGCTCACACATTCATACACGCGCGCACACACACTCACACATACTCACATACACACACAAATACACACACACTCACACATTCACTCACACACACGCACACACACATACACACGTTCACACATTCATACACGCGCGCACACACACATACGCACACACTCACACATACACACAAACGCTCACACTCACACATACACTCACATATACACACACACTCACACATTCATTCACGCGCGCACACACACTCACACATACTCACACACACACATACACACACAAATACACATACACTCACACATTCACACACACACGCACTCACACACACGCACACACACATACGCACACACTCACACATACACACAAACGCTCACACTCACACATACACACACGCTCACACGTTCATGCGCACACAAACTGATTACATGAACTATCTTCTCAACCGGTTTAATATGTAGCCGGCTCTAAAACGTCCAGTTTAAATAATAACAACCAACATTGGAAGGTGTTACATTTATACACGCATGGAAGTGTTTGTACTTGGAAGTTAAACACTTAAGTGTGTTTGGGAGTGAGGGCCTAGTTGACTCAACTGGGATAACGGTCCTTATTCGACTTGATTCATCACAAAATACTGCCTGTTAGATGTACAGGTATTCAAAAAAAACGAGTAGTTCAATGAGCTGGGAGCGAGAGGTAAATTAAATTTCCCTTTTGACAGTTCAAAACACCAAAATTACCATCTTTCAGGATTAAATTCTAGTCAGATTCTACTTAACATCGATACGTAATTTTCAAATTATGCATGGCTAGACGATTGTCTAATTGTCCAGAAAGGCAGATGGCGATATCAAAAGTCGTTTTAATGACACTTTAACTGAATAATTAAGCGTACTTTGTTTAAGTGATTTCAAATATGTTGCAGCCCGCAAATTTTGAACTTTTGGCGTAACGACGAATCCTAATGCTCCGCGGTATCTACGCTGAATTCACTTGTAGAGTGAATAATGCAAGAACACCGGACTATCGTGTTACGAGAAAATCTTGTCGAATTGCATCAATCCTCTTCGTTCGACGACTAGGGAAAAAGATAATCTACTGGGGAGTGCGGCACTTCGACAGTTTGCTTTGGTGGGGCATCATTCGGCAATTACGAAGTAGAATATCTTTCTTCCCCTTTTGCTTGGCTATAATAGCTCAGGCATTTGCCACTGTCAGCACTAGAGCCGGTTTTTTAAATAATACCTCCTGATATTCTCATGTCTGCAAGCGAAATATGTGTGTAAATCACTCATTTTGAAAATTAAAACATAGAATGTGTGTCCTCGAAATTTTAATTATTTTTGCTTCAGATGATACAGCTTGCAGTTGTCTGACACATCGGCAGAGTGCACTTCATCTGGCTTACAGTTTATCAATTGCTTCGATGAGACAAACAGCAGTCTATCCAAAATGACTGATGGTATTTACGGGTGATGACTCATTCATTCAAATACAAGCACCAATCAGAAAATTAATTTGTGTTTTTTCGCAATTTTTAAACATGCGAAACCAAGAACGATCCCATTTGAAGTGAAACGGAACAGAAATATCCCTGAGAGCTACGAAAAACTGCTTCATTTTGTGGAAATGACCATTATTTTTGGGTTTTATTGAACTCTTTCTTTTCCCTTTTGCACCGTACCACTTTTCCCCCGTCGTTGATGGTGAGTTTGGTGTTTTTTTGGAAGTCAACGTTCATTAAGCCTCGTTGCGCGGTTTTGTGGGTGCAAGTGTTACTGCCCTTTGAAGTTACCTCTTTGAAGGTAGACGCCCAGTCGCGCGCGCGAAGTCTATTCGCTTCTTTGTTAATTATTTTTTTTGTTTAAATTAATGCAAGCGGCCATCTTTGATCGATCATCAAGCAAAAACGAGCAAACTGCAGAAATTATACACATGCTTGCACCTTGCAAAGATATCGCAATTTCCAAAACTAGAAGATTTGGAAGTTGTTTTAGTGCGCTGATTTGGGTGACCTTGATTAAAATCAATCTGGTATTTATTGGTTTTGCTGTGTGGCGATTTTGTTCATTTCCTTCAAAGTTACAAAATATTAACGCCTTTTTCATTGAGGAAGTGCGATATTTGCAATATTTTTATTGGTCGCTAACAAAATCAGCAAATCGCTGTTGCGCATATTTTTCATGTAAATGAGTTAAAAATTGAGAGCAGCTACGACTGTTTTAAAAAATCAAGTAAATTTTTGACAACCAAGATAAAATCTCTGATAATATGGAAACTGGCTTATTTTTTTCAGTGTTACCTAGTAAGGTCACACGTTTTTTGGCATTTAAATGTCTCTAGAATGTGCAAATTAATTTCCCATAAACAGACTAGGTTTAGATCAATTACCAAACGTCTCATTTTATACATTCAACACAATTCGGTTGAAAATGATGATATGACATTGCCAATTGACCAATATTTGATCGATTCTTTGTTCGTACAACTCATCGATTAAATTTTCTGACATTATCAGCACTGTACAAAATTCTTGAGCAAGAGTAAGGCAGTCTGACACCCAATATATTGATTTCTAATTTATTTAACTAGTTTGATACGATCGAACGATCGCCAGAGTTTACCTTGGCATCTGCGTTTCCATTCTACGCTATCAACAGTACTCCATTTCAAATTTTGAGAATATAAAACTATTTACTTAGTAGCAAATCACGATAACCACAAAATGTGTCAGTTCTGCTGGTACGCGTCATGGAAACTGGCATGTCAGATCAAGATAAGATTAAAAACGTTGCTTTTGCTCGTCCTACATCAACTGGCTTTGGCACTACTAACTCATTTAGTTCACTATCTGAAAGCTCAGAATGCAAAATAACAACGAAATTTACGATTTAATGCGTAGCTGTTGACGACCGACTGCCCGTGATTCGTGGTGGACGTGGAGGACCTTGTTTAATGCTGTTACAAATCCACAGTTGTGCTAATAATCCAGACTGAAATTAATCTTTTCCCATCAGTAGCGCTATCCAGTGTAAACCGAGTAGATGCGGGTTCTTTTAACAAAAAAACAGACCGTTTTTTTAGCAAGTCGAAATCCATACTGCATTACGAGGTGATGACAATTCTTTTTTGTACAAAATGATTCCTATAAGCGCGTTAGTTTCAAAAAACCAGGTGATGTTTTTTTTGTGTTAGTGAGTGCAGGAGACACACAATTTGTTATCCTGTTTAAGCATTTTTTGCAACTCGAAATCAAGTCGAATTTTAAAACTGAAATTACTTACTTTCAACCCATTCAAACATAAATTACGTTTGAATTTTAATACCGAAGGTCAAGATTATCACTTGTTTCAGATGGCGTGCAGAAAGGTTAACTGTAAGCTATCAGATTTTATCTTTGTGCTTCCCAAATTGAATTATTGATTGTTTAAGAAATGCAAGAATGTCTGTTGATACCGAGACGAAATGTTTAAATTGAGTAAACAAATAATTGCCTGCCACATTTGATTGCGCTGCAAACGCCAATAGCGGCTTATATCAGCTCCGTTCGATTTCCAATTTGGTTGATAACTGAGCTAATACGTATTAATGAGTGCGTTTCGTTTGTATACTTTTATCAGACGTTAATATCACCCTAAATCCTACATCGGCAAGTTTAGAAGACAAAAAATCTGCTGGACGAGGTTGAGATTATCTTCAGGAAAGAAAAAAATCCCGCAGAAATCGTCAGCGTTTGAAATGCCTTCTTGTAAGGTCGGCGGATGACGCATAAGTCGGGTTTCAAGAGAAGTCCTCGGCTACTTCAAGCCGCTAACTCATGGAAGAACTTTTTACAGAGAAACCCTACGAGAGCTTGAGAAACAGCCTGCGCACTTTAACGGAATTAAACATCAACTAATTCGACTAAAAGGGCTATTTCACCCTGTAGGTAGTAGTTTTTTTCGTGTTTTGGCTAGGAATCTGGTCTGAAGCATTGTAGTTTGGTTTGACGCTATCAGTGCTGCCTATCCAAAAATTCAGGAACAAACGCAGGCACGTAGGAATCCGGAGACATCACAGCCAATCGGGAATAAGATTGCACTTCATAGCAATAACCAAAAATACTTTTTTAAAAAAACATCACAAATGAGGTGAATACACTGAAGGGTAGGTCACTTAAATGCTTGCGAGTACACAAATATTGGAACGAAATAAGGGACATCACAGCGAAGATGCACACGGAATGTCAGGAGGAGGTGATGGCGAAGAAGTTGGAGATCACAACGACGGCGAAGGTGACGGTGGCAGCGATGTTCACAAGAGGTGATGGCAGTTGACAGGGTGATGGCTACGAAAGAGTGGTAAAGAGATGGGAGATTTATGTGAAGCAGTTGAACCCACAGATGATTAAATCAACCGCATTTCTTGTATCGTTTCTGCATTCAAGCGCGCTGACTTGAGATACGTCTCCACGCGGCGAGTTTTAACAAGATAGGATTGATCACTAATAGCCAACAAAATGGATCAGGCAATGAAAAGAAGGGTATTTTTGACTCAAATTACCTTTGATGACTAGCCTTTCATTCGTTCGATGAGGGTTTGAAATCTAAAATTCGAAGATATCATTAAATTTTTAAAAGGGTGTACAAAAAAAAATGGATCGCGCGTAATTTACGCACCAAGAAGTACACACATACGACCTTGATAATGGTTTAAAAAAAGGCGGTAAACTCAAAGCGTGATGGACCAATGGGAGTGCGCGGTCAATGCGGAGTGATGTGCATGGTAGATAAAAAAGGAAAAACCAGAGTGTTGGAATGTTAAGGCAGAAAAGAGTTTCCAGATTGGACGTTTTCATTGGTCACACAGTTGAAATTGGCAAAACGGAGCTACCAGGTTGGATTTGCCGCCCTGATAATCCCGGATTCACACACAAATCGCGTCGTTATGACGCAGTGCTCAGATAACACCACAAAACACTTAAAAATCAAATATTTCGCGTTGGCTGATTAGTAGGGAGGTCGGAGCGCAAGAAAACGCCTCATTTAAACAAGGCTGCATGAACGCTTGGAGTTTAATTAACACTCCGATCACGTTGCTGTGGGTTGGGTGGGTGGGTGGAGTGAAGGCGGTCGACTGGCGAAACGAAATGACGCAGTTGAGTGCTAATTAAATTCCCCAGAAAGCGAATTGAATGGAACGAAATTAGCAAAATTCGCCTCGGTGTGTTGAACTGCCGCATCACACAAACGTCCACCCTTTCGGACTTAAGGCACATTAAGGCAGAAATATGGATTCTTGTTGGTAAACTGATGACCGTCCGATTCCTGATGCACTCATTCGTCGCATTTGTGAATCCAAAAACGACTGCTATTACTTCGGGAATACGTTGGAAGCTGGTTATCCGTCTCTACGATCAAAATCAAATCACCTCAGGCATCGAACAGGATCTGGTAGTTCTTAAAAACACAAATACAACAGTTTTAGCGCGTTTGCTAAAGTCTGTGGGTGATTTGAAACTAGTTTACAAACAGTGGATTCTCGTGATTCATAAGACTTGTTCATCAGCAACGTCCTCACCACCATTTTCAACAACTAACTCTCAACATTTTGCACATTTTCGAACCGCTTTCTTTCGTAGGTTACTCTTCAAAGGAAATCCTAAGTGGGATCATCACTCTTTCCCTGAAATCAAATATTTTGGCATCAACGCACTTTGCAATGAATGAAACAGATACAATCTGGAAGTGATGTGGAATACGTCAGTTTATGCAGTGTCTGCTGCTGAGGTGCATGTGATCTAGCGTTGTCATGGTGGAGGATGATGTCGCTTCAATTGACAAATTTGGACGTGCTTCCTGGATTCCAACAACGAGTTGGGTTACAGACTCACAGTACTTCTTCACAGTTGTTGGCTGGTCAAGTAGAAGAAAGTATTCAGAGAATAGTCCTCTGCAATCCCACCACCAAACACATGACACCACTTCCATCGGATGCATGCAGCAATCCAGGCTTTGCCATGGATTCTGCTCCTTCGTCTCTACGCTTCCAGCTTCTTTCTTCCCATTGTGGTACTGTTCATAAACCACAGTTCATCAGCAGTTGCGAATTGATCCGTGGAAGTTTGGTATCCTTGTCCGTTTAATCCGGAATGAGTTTGTTGGTTTTGTCAAAATGTGTTTAAACACACACACACATCGAGTTTCGAAGTTTATCCAAGCTGCGTCAGATGCTCTCATGATGTGGGATTGTCAACATTGAGTGCCTTAGCAAACTCTTTAGTGGCAATCCATGCATTGTTATTGTTCTTTACAAAATCACGGACAAAGTCGTTGTCAATGGCGACGGGTCGCCCAAAGCGAGGAGTTTATTGGTTACGCTGTAGTCACCACTTCGAAACTGTACACACAGATCTGTTTAAACAAAATTTCATAAATTTGCGTTGACTCATGACGCCTTTTGATAGCTGTTGGCCTACGGTTTGATTGAAAAACATCCGCTACCTATGAAAATGGTACACGCTCTGCCAAGATTGTTCAAAATCTTTACACTGACCTTCTAAATTTAAAACTACTATATTTACGCACATTTCTGGAAAATGAATTATTTATGTCTGTTCTTGAGATTTAAAAAAAAAAAATTTGAATTGGCCTTCCTTTAATTTCTGGAGAAAAACCCTACGTAGGTCAAGTCAACCAATCAATATAGTGGATATTCAAACCTGTAACGTGATTGGTTAATAACGCGCAGCGATTTATCGATCGTCTTTTCCACCCACAGCATAAACTTCTATACCGACTTAAAGATAACCTTGAAAAAAGATGTTTAAGAATCAAGGGAGGTATCGTAGCAAAAAACATCACTTGAAAGCTGTCCACGATTTTCCTGTATCACTTTTGACAGGAGATGATTACACAAACGCCTGAAACTTCACACAGACAAATTACCAGATCAACTAATTTGATCTGTAAAATGCCAGTTGCTAGGGATTTTTTGACGTAGATGTGTCCGCACGCAGATGGTAGGGGTGCTTAAATGCTAAAGGTCAATTGTACCACAACGCATTTATCATTAGGTGGAAAAAAAAACAGCCAAAATGTTCACATTCAATCTGCACGAGTGCACGATTCTACTGAAAGTGATGGAATCAAATCAAATTACTCGCTAAATTGGCTATTGTGAAAACTCCGGCGTTGTGGTTAGGCTCCTGTGGCAGTAGAATTCCCACATAAAACCAATTTTAACGTACAAACTGTGATCGCAAGCCGGTGCATTTGAACAAATGTACACAACACCTGGCATAAAAGAATTTTTTGGAAAAAGTAACCGGTTTCTTTGAGTACAGTAGTTATTTTGGCTAAACCAATCAGCTTGAGGCGTTTTCCTGCATCATTTTGATACACACACACAGTGGTTGAACCACACAAATCAGTGAAAAAATCGCGCCTTTGTCAAAACCACGACATGACATTAGTTGGAGTTATCGCGATCTAAATGGCGTCGTTCAGAGATGTTATCAAACTGCGTGACGTTTTCATCGTAAATAAATTGGGAGAATGAAACTCCGGCGAATTAGTCCAAATGAGCATTAGGATCTCTGCGACAAATACACTAACTTGAACAATGCCGGTCACATGATTGGTTGGTTTAAACGCTTGCTGAGCACTGGTTGGTTGTAATACACGATAACGCCTTAATGTATGCAACAAAACGGTGCAATCATTTCGGCCCTATTTTCTAGGGTTTCGTTCACAAAATTTCTCAATTAAGACAACAAACACGCAATTAGAGATAAGTAAATATTGTCTTGCCGATCATGGGCTTTCTATCGATAGCGCGGGTTTGGAAAAACTAAACTCACGGAATTTCTCCAACAGAGGTGACGCGTGAGCATTACAGAGTCGATAAGTGACCAATCCGTAGAGGCAATCGTGTAATAATTAGCCGAAATAACTTTTCAACAATGAAGCTTAAGAGGGAATATGCGTTGAAGACTTACAGCCGTTTAACTCCAACCAATTGACTGGATCGATGGTGGAGTTTTTCGTCAGGTTCACGATTGATCGGTCCCTGAACCGCTGGCGCGTCATCTCTGTTTCAAAACGAAACGTGAAAGCAAGTTGTCACCAAAAATGCACCAAATCGAAGACTTTATTGTGTAGACAGGAAACTAGGGTGTAAAATAACGAATGGTTGCCTAGGCATGACTTAGCGGTTTAAATGAATCACTTTTCAAGGTCGGTGACGACTTATTACACCCAGAAGGTCCAACATTCGTTGAACTACCGTTAGGGAAATGAGCGTCGTTGGTCTTAAACTACTTTCAAGAAAACTTATTGATTTTATTGACGATTACTGTCACCGTGCCTGCAAACTATTGGTTGCTGGTTTTTGAAGTTAACAAGAACAATGAACCCGCAGCCACCTCACCCAGCGCGTCGATAAACATCGAGTTGGTCCTTCAGTTGAATGACATTCGATTGAAGTTGCATGCATTCACCGAGGATTTGATGCAATTCGCCGTAGGAAAAGCGTGGCGACTCAGAAGTTGGCGTGCCGTCGCCGGACTGTCCGATGTTCTTGTCGGAGTTCAACAACCTCACAACATCGTCTTCGGTCTTTTCGTCGTTCTGAACCACAAAAAGACACAAATTCTTTTGACGTGACAGAGACTGCATTCCATCAGGTAAGCAAATGAATCACCACAAGAAAATGGCGTTTCACTAGGTAAAGTATTTTCAACCTAAACACTCAGTTACACGCGTGCAAATGTAGAGGCCGCAAGCATTTAAACAACAATTTAAATGACCTTGAGACCGATTTAAACAAGACTAGTGCACGCAGATGTCAATGGTGTAGCGAAAAAACGGATTGTGGATTTGAAAACCCGACAATAACAAACCATTGTTTTATGCCTACCCTGCTTGAGTTTAATTATTAAATGGTCAGTACACTTACAATGAGAGGAAAGCATCTTCAACCTAACCTTGGCAAATAAGCACTAATATAGTCACGTGACCCATGGGGAAATGAGTTTAAAAGAACACGTGTACACAAATCCGAGATATTTTCACGAAAGAGGGCCACTTAAGAGCCAAACACTATTGGACCAATGAAAATGCACAAAATTCTGGCGACGCAGTGATTGGCTACAAGAGAGCGTTCGTTCGGCTTCTGATAACTCACACCCCAATACTGTCTAGAATTCCAATTTCGACCTTCGCGCAATTCCGATTAGCTGGATCATATTAAGAAGGAGACAAATCGATGCGCTTGGCACCAGAAATTCAGCAGGAAATTCGGGCAAATATTACAAACTACTGACAATCAAAAGTAGTCTTAATAATAATAGTATTGAAGATGTGACGAACCGAGTTAATGCTCGGAAAGTGCGTCACGAAGCATCAAAATAAAATGCCTAGGCCTTGGCGGACACTAGAAATGTCCAAAGTGGCAAAAAACCTGCTTGCAGATGCACAAAAACAAGCTGTTATCTACGATTACCAATGACACATCGCTAAAGTCTTGACGCACCAAGAAGCAACTGTCCGCAGGGGTGGGGGTGGGGGTGGTGGTGGTAGGCGACGGACCCACGTGGCGACGAATTTCCTCAGCCAACACCCACTTCGCGCGTAGACGCGTCTCGACCTCACTGAGTTCATCTGCCAGGTAGGCAGCGGCTCCTCCCACCACCTCCGCATCCGGTTCTGTTTCCGCAGGAGGAGCTTTGAAGCGATCGCGACGCAGCCACTTCCACTTGGCATTCAGATGTGCCAGTCTCTCGGCTTGTAGTTTCATCTGCGCAATCGAAACATATGGTACAAAACTGGATTTTAACACAGCATGGCTACTGAAATCAATTCGGTACACATGCATTTTTATCAATTTAGCCGGTAGTGTGCTAATTGGTCAGAAACCATTTACCGCATCAAGATCGATGGTGCGTTGAGCAAGAAGATGTCGCTGGGAGCGCAGGTCAACTTTCTGCGCATCGACCAAGTCCTTCAGACGCTGAAGTAGTTTCACCTCTTCCAATCCTGATACTAGGGTTCCAAATGTCACAATCAATAAATCGATTACCTGAAGTCTCCGGCAACGAGCGATACTCCTTGGATTTTTTGGTCGAATCGACAAGTTCAGCGAGTTGAGCATTTTCCTCAGTTAAATTGTTTATTATTGTTTGTAACTCCTTTGTCTCAGCTCGCCAGGCTTCTTCGATCTTCAAGGTATCCTATTGGACAGAAGCAGAACAGCGCGCAAAATCAAGTAACCAATCATTTCAGTCATAGATTCTACTCACTGACCCGTGAAATCACTGAGGATCTGGCAAAGAGCATTAATCATCAAACAGAGATAAACATGTTCAAAAATTAAACAAAAATGAATCGAAAATTACGTTCAAAATGCATGAATTGGAGAGCGAATTAGACACAAAATTCATTTTTAATGACCAATGCCGGACCAATTTTCCACCCTGTTCAGCAATAAAAGAACATTGGAAATTGCAAACCACTTCAATATTGATTGACTCCAAAATATACCGATTTCAAATCTAGTCTAGAGGGTCTTTTGTGAACTGGTGTCGAAGACAAGACGAAGACGGGCATTCAACAAGACACAGATGTAGGTATACCTGTTCTATTTTGAGTCGTTGCTCAGCACGTGTTAGTTTATCTAACTGGAGCCGTTCAACAGCGGCTTTCAGAGCCGCCAACTCCTCCTGATGACTGTTCCTCAGAACAACCTGGTCTTCGAGTTCCTCCAGAGCGTGGATCACCTTCGGCATGAGTCCGCAGACTGAGTCGGTGCCGTGGCGATCGATGACGGCCTCAAATTCCTTACCGATGGCCGCCGCCATTTCATACACCGCGGTCACCGACGTGACTCCGCCGGTCTGGTCGCTGGCACCACTCAACTCGTCTGCCAGACCCAGAGAAGTCATGTCGAGACTGCCGGTGGTCGCAGCGGAGGCTCGTCTTCCAGCGCCACCTCGTTCCCACTCGGATGACGCCAGCATGGGAGGATGCGTCGAAAGAAGTTTCCAAACTGGGACGGGAATTAACATGCAAAGCGGCGTGAGAAAAAGCAGAAAATATTCAGAAATAGAAGGGCAGTTTCCTCTCTTGAGTTCCATTATTAAGCGTGGGTGGTGTGTACTTTCGACCGAACTCTGTAACCTGATTGGCTAGCATTCTGCCTCAGCTGCTTCCTCCAAGTTAATGGCTTTTGGGAGAAGTTGATAGGTGCTGTGAATAATTGTTTCGGCTTTACCATCTCCATTTCTCGTATGGTTTTAGCCACGCACACATTCTGAAGTGTACGTTCATCTTTGCCGTGCGTATTTATCTATCCTCTTAAACGCCGTGACTCATAGATTTATCAACTATCTCTGTAAATCGCAAACCCGAAAACATGCAGTTTGTGAGTCAATCAATTTGGGATTTAGAGGCGCATAAACTAGATGTTTCCGTAGTCATGGCCATTTTTTCAGTAAGTAATTCATGACTTTAAAAGCAGCCGCCAATTTCCTCAAATTTATCTTTACTAATTATCATTTGTTATTAAGACATCGGTATTTCCGTCCTGGATAAACAATCACGTGGAATTATGTGCAATTTAAAATTAGTAACCAGAAAGAATCCTGCTGTTTTCACACCAGACTAAATGTGCTTTGTTAGTAAGTGAATATTTTTATCCTGAAAACAGGAAAGCGAGCAAATAGACAGTTGTGTTAACGAAATCAGCTGCTTACAGAAAGAACGTGCGGGTAACTACATTTGCACAATGACATGACCGGAAACGAGAATTGCGTTATTGAAACAAGACAGCTCATTTCCATGTTCAGCGTTCAGCAAATGCAATTATCTTGCATCCTCTTGCGTAAGGCAGGCACTTAATTGACATCTGTGTCAAATCTAAGATTTAAGCTCATATTCCCGAATTTACACTTCAATTTTGCTTTGCAATCCATACACCTGGTAGAATTCTTAAGCGCATGATGCATAAACACCATTTTTTCAAACTTTAAAGCACCTTGAAGTACTGTGCAACTTTAAAAGTGTTATAATTATTAAAACAAGTTAAAGTTTACTCTAAAAATTAACTTATTTAAGTTTTTAGGAATCTCAGATCAAGTCAACTATTTACTCGAACTTAAAGGTGGTTAGTATGTTTGAAATCAATTTCACAGGTTTTGTGATCGTTTTACACAACTAAAAACAGTGTCATGTGATTAATAAGTAGCTTTTGATAATATTAGAGCTTAAACTGCAAAATTTACATACACTTTTAAACAGGGAATCATAAAATAGTCGCATTAAATGATACTGCAATTTTTCAGTAACAATTTACATTTTATGGCACACAACCTAAAGTTAGATTGAACAATGCAAATGAAAATGCAATAAGCTCAAAAATTTTATTGCATGCGAAAAAAATTTAGTATATACATTTTACAGTCTGATCATCATGGCAAGTCAATTAAGCGAGCAATGATGTCAGATGAAACTTTGTGCTGCTTAATAGATGATATGCACAAGGCATGTAAAGTAAAAAAACACAAAACATTAAAGAGTTGATGGTTTACCTGAAGAGATGGGCCAGATAGCCCCAAAGGCCAGAACTTAGCATTAGTTATACCAAAAATAAGTTTCCAGTAGCATGAATCATTTCGAATTTTGCACGAGAGTTATTACTATGTGTTCAGTACGGAAACCAAAAAAACCTCAGTTTTAAAAGCTCCTACCACCATTCTTTCCTAATTATCCACACCTACGATAGCAAAGACAATAATTCTTTCAGAATTCGAGATCCCAATTTGTAGCATAAAAACATACAAAGTAAAAGGTTAACATGCATAATAATATGTTATGTGTCAATTTAGGAAATTTCGTAGCTTATAAATAATACAAGCCAAGTAGAAGCTTCAAACTTGTGAAATGAATCTTAAAAAAGCAAGAAGTTAAATAGGCAGAAAATAAAGCCATGGCAAAATTTCAGCCTAAAATTTATAATAAAGTCACAAGTTAAATGTTACAAAAACAATAATAAGGAATTGATGAAAATTTACCTACCGTAACAAAACTTTTAAGTGAAAATATGGCTTACGAAAAGCACAAGAGGGGCCGCCAAATGCCCGTCCTTCATACAACCCTGAAAGGTGGCATACTTAAACTATCGTTCTGGTATTTTTATTTCCACATCAATAAATGTTATGCAAATATATATTAATCCGAAAACGTAATTTTTCGATTAGTTGCATTTCTAGGCTCATTACTCGTGCATAGATAATTACGTAATAGTCAATGCATCCTGGTGTATTCACTTGCTTTGTAACTTAAATCAATTGATGACATCTGTTTATAAACAGAAGACTTCCATGTTACAGTTTTTAGTATTGTCTACAATCCTTCATTTTGATTTAAATGAATAGAGGTTCTGAATCACATTTATTGATGGTGTATTTTTTGGTCAACCAAATAAATGATTATAAACTTCGCATACATTTGAACTTCCACTGATTGTTTTAAAATTAAAGATATCTGAAAGAATCTAACAGGAAAATCTATCTACAATGTTTTTTCGTTCATTTTTATTTTCAGGTGCATCTAGCAATTTAAATATCTCTTAATGAAAATTTTTTACAATAATTTGAGTTGCAGCTTGCCAAAATTATAAACAGTCGCATTTTACACTTTTCTGAACATCGTTAAGTAATTGTCACACATGATTATTAACTCTAAGAAATGACCCTAATTTTTTTGAAGAAATAAGGATAAAAATTCTTCCAGCTTGATTAGGTTGCCACTTCCTGCCATTTGTATCAGTTATACGGGACGAACGAAGCGTTTATTAGAACCCAAAATTGTTTTTCATGTCAGCGTCTTATCCCTTATGCATATAGGGGATATGTGAATGTCGAGCTACAGCAAAACTTTAGGACACAACTGCAACCAAAAAAGTTAATCGGTCTTACCTCATGGCAAGTGGCCCACTTCATTCGCATATAATAATGCAAGGAGATTTTATATCAATTGGAGTACGGTGCTTTTAGCGCAGTAGCCTGCGTGATTTCTGCTGGTAGATAAAACATATTTCAGCTAAGTTATTGGCGCTAAATAGATATTTACAATGTTTTGCCATAAACACATAAATGAAAGCATCTACTGGGGTTTTCTGCACCTAGTGACACAAAATTAGCATTTTGGGCCATATGCGAACCATGGGGTACCTGCACACAAGGAGGCAAACCTAAAGAGAAGAGTCAAAATGACTGCGCGATTAATGTTTCGGTTACTAAGGTAATAGAACGCAGACAAACGGAAATTATTTGATTTACATTTGCCCTCAGGAGTAAGGCTTTTATTGGTACCCGAAAATCACATAGCTATGAAAATATAATATTTCCAGCTGACAACTTCAACCATTTGAATCTCACATGGCAATGTCGAACCTGATATGTATCCTAGAACTTAAGCGAGACAAATTCAACACCATTCTTTTATGGGACGTTTGTGTTTCCTAAATTATTTTGCCAGTAAATCAGAACGAGCTCAAAACAGTAACCAAAATATATTATTTGCAAGGAACCAACAGGTCTCAGGTAATTGAAAATGCAGGGAGTGATGACTAAAGATTGACTCTTCGTATGAATCTGGCAATCTAAAGTGCTGACAGGTAGCCTGAATGGCCGTAACTAGTGATAAATACCAGTGAAAATTTTGCAGCTGCAAGACAAATTATTCGACTGTGGGTATTTTGTGTTTTAAATCAATTTTGAATTTCTTCATCACTGTAGCTATTGAGCTTTTTTCAGACCGCACAAAACAGTCAACGCGATTTTTTTGCCACCATAATATTGATTAGTTTCAAGAGGTTGTGGCACTGCCAGTAATAAATCTACTCGACAAAATTAGAGCCTAATGGCAATCGTACCAAGATTACCATAAAATTGGTTTAATTTAATGATTTTAGCATTACACTACAGTCAAAAACTGTTTGGTGTTTCTTCACATGTAATAGATATAAGTCTATTTGACGCAGCCATCTCTAAGCTGAAGGAGAGGCTTTGACTTATCTAACATTTGCAGGTGTAACTAGAATTGCTTAAGCATAAACCACCACAAAACAGAGGGGCTTTGGCTGTATTTTGCTCACTTCGCGAGAGAAATTGAAGCTAATCGAAAAAAATTGTTTCCGCTCTAACATTCATTGGTCGACAGCACTTATAAATCCGAAGTTGTAATTGGGTGGTTTCAATTAGCCTATATCGGATAGGATTTGTTTGCATTGCTGCAGCCTCAGCCATGAGTTTGCAGGTTGTTCAGATTTTACCTACATATCTTCATTTAGACTTGTTCTGATTTTTCAGATCTAGATATTCTGCTTGTAAATTCCGAAAAATTTAATCAGGTATGGTCAAGTATTTAATTAATCTCAGGTATTTGTTCAAAAACTTCGTCCTGCTTGGTTGAATCGAATTCTCGATCGTCTGGCACACAGTCCAACCCATTTCAACAAATTTATGGAGATATTAGTTGAGATGGTGACATCGCAAAAACATCCAGAGTGGACTAGGCGTGCGTTGAAGTGGCTTTGTAAAATCTTCGAGCATCCAGAATTGACCAAAATGCTTAAATCATGTCAACCCTCTCTGTGTCGTTTTGTTTCGCACAGTGCAGATATGCTCGGAATACACCAACTGTTACGGCCTACAATCGATATGATTGAAGAAACTCCAAAGTCAGGCAAAGTCGAATTCGCGTTTTCAAAGGCCCCTATTTATGACACAGGCTACGTTTATGTTGATGGTATGTCTATGTTCGCTTACGTTGTTCTCATGCATTCCTATTGTTTTTTCACGTTTATACTCAGATACTAGCTATAAGATATCAAGTAAAGGAGTTAATTTGGGTGGTGTGATTTTAAGTGCTAGTTTTACACCGCTTTATTGAAATAGTTAAAAGAGGAATAACTTGTGACTTGATCATTTAAATGATTTATATTGCATGCCTTTTGCAAATATGCGGTAAAAAGGTTTTTTTAATGGCTGTATTCACTGATTTTTCCATGCTGTATTACTAAACATGGACAACAACAGTGGTATCCGCAAGTGCCTACAAGTGCTTGTAGCCCCTTTCAGCCACACCGTGGCGATTTTGAAGTGATTTAAGAGTAGCGTATTGTGAAAAAAGCTTTACGTGGAGTAAAAGGGCAAAATAACGTGAGATGTGTGGAAATTTGCGCAGATTTACAGCTGAGATGTGGTTACGAATCCTCCTATTCTAAGCACAGTTGGATTTGTTGTCCTGTTATTCGTGTTACCTCAACGGCTCCGTAATTACCATTTTAAATATAGCAGAGATTTGAGAGTTCTCGACCCCAGCAATTGCTAATAGTTTTTTGCAACTGTTCGTTTACTTTTTGCCCTAATTCAGATGTTTGGTGTCTTGTGTCTAAAAGAATTGTGTGGGCAGCTGATTATAAGTCTAATTTTTCTGCAGATTCTGACGAGGACTTTGGTGCCTCCACGAAACGACGTCGTCAGACACAGTGTGATGGCGATGAAGCCGAGGAATTGGATGACGATGATGAAGATGGTCAGTTATCAGTCCTCAGTACTGATGACGACCAGGAAATAAGCGACGGTGACATCAGCGACGTCTCCGGGGCGTCTGCAGATGACGGAGTTTTTGATGTGGACAACGGCTCCTCTTCATCCCTCCCCGAGAGCCAAGCGTCCTCAAATCTTCGCCAAGCACATCGACCATCTGCCAAGACTTTTCCTGATGACAGTAGCGGAGATGATGACGAGGAGGAAGAGGAAGATTTCGACAGTACTGAAGTCAGTCGTTATGCTTTTAATTCAGAAATAGTTGATATGCTAGGTAGCCCTGGTGCTCATAAGTTATTTAGTCTCCGTGTAGGCTATTAACCCTTAGTTTGACTTTTAGTCAGTTTTGAGCTTCCTCCTGTTATTGCTCAGATATATTAATGTGATTTTTTTAAGAACGACCTCCCAGACATTCATTTCACTTGTTTTTTTTTACCTTTTGACGAATAATCCTTCACCTTATTCGCATGGCCAGGATGATGACGATGATGAGGAATCGAGTTTTCTTCCTGAACTGGGGGAGGAAGACGAAGAAGAGGAGGCAAAAGCAGGAGGCAGCGGATGCGAGAGCCAGGAAGCCTCCTCTCCACGCCGTTCAAGTAAATCAAACGCTCAGCCACTCCGACGCTCACCACGGAAGTCGAAACGCCGATGAAAAGCCCTCCGAATTCACTCTGTACATTTCCTTTTCACAAATTGAACTTTCCTAATAACTGATGTTCTGCCTTTTGTGAGTTTGGGCTCTGGTGCTACTGACGAAATCCTATTAGGTGGCTGTGTGTGTGTGCCTGAAAATTCTTTTATTAACAGCAACTAGGCGTGGCGTTTTTGAGAATTTAAAAAGATCTGCAAGTGTGGGGTTTCAGGTTCTTCGGTGTACTTATTTTACGAACTTCCACAGTGAAAAATTAGTCCGATTAAGTCAGATAAATAAAGCAGCGACTCTCTCGGGCTGGTCATCGACTAACACTAGTACTTTGTGACGATTTGGAGAGATTGTGTTTGCACAAATTCATTAAGTTCTCCAATGATCGTGCTATCAAATGAGGATTTTGAATGAGAAGCTATAAATAAGCTCAAAAGCAAGATGAGGCAGGTTTTTTGGAATGGCATAAATTGTTTGTTAATTATGACCCGAAACATAAGTATTTTCAGTTCGTACAGATGACAATGAGGCGAAATTGATGCAATCCAAACGAATGCGAATGCACTCATATTTCTACCAAGATTGTTTATTTCAATTACGACCTTAAACTCGAGTCAAATATGAACTCAAAGGGTGAAAAATGAGCTAAATTCGACCTTCGTTAGCTCGATATATGATAATCCTAATAAAAGCGCTTTCTAAGACATTTCACGCAACATTTATGTCAAAAAGTTGGATGCCTAAATCAATGCTCAATGATTATTTCTTAATTTACCTGTTAGCAGGAAGATAAAATCAGTGTCTAAACATCCCATTACCATGTAAAGGGGTCAGGTGTTCTGCTTACCGCAAACTTTAAACCTAAACTTTTCAGCAGCATTTGCAAACAAGGGAAAAGACAAAATTTTTATTTCCTGGAACACTTTTAGTACCGCACACTTGATTTTGTCAGGTGGTAAAAGAGTGTGATGAAAAATAGACCTTCCAAAATGCAGTTATTTCTGTGAACGAAGAAAATACGCGTTAATGTCAAAACTTCAATGTTAGATTTCACCTCAAAAAAATTGTTTGCGATGAATTTTTATTGATTTTTTGGCAACCGCCCTTCCACCACATACTTTAGCTAGATCGAGCACATTCACTGATAGGTAGCAATCTCCTCGTAGTTTAGTCTACAAGTGTATTCTACAATAGAAGCAAAACTACACAACAGAGTTACAGAGCATCTTCTTTGAGCATAGTTTTACATAATGGACATTTTTAAATTGGTCTAAGAAGAGGCCCAACCAAATGCAAGACTTGAAAATTATTATTTAAAAAGTGGATAAAAACATATTTTTTGCAGCTGTAAATATGAACAAAGATGTAATTTCTAAAAGATTAAATTTCCGAAAAAAAATCCAACTTTAAAAGTACCTCTTAAGGAGTCCATTCTAGTCGATTCAAAGTTACTCATGATACTCTATTAACGTTGCAAATAAGGAAAAAAAATCAACTACCTGGATTATGCTTAAGTTTAATAAGTGTGTACAGATTTACAAGTCACAACTAGTCAGTAGAGGACCACCAGTACAATTTCAATCAAGCATGGCTTTAAAAAAATCAAATTAGAGAACGTAAATTTTCCGAACAATGTCTGACCACTTTTCTGTAGTCAGTCGCTTTCAACTCGTCGTTTAAATTAAGAATTTTTTAAAAGGTGTTTAACAAATCAGTGGTAAAATATTTGGATCTCTGTTAGCACCACACAATATCAGGCAATGGAGTTTGAAATTGCGAAAAGTGAAAATAAGGTCAAGCAAGCGCTAGCAGATAAAACAACGAGATCTTTTAAGCAAACTAAATCTTGCACACAAAATAGATCGAAGTAATTAATTTGCTAATAAAATTTACAAATAATAAATTTAAAGAAGACCAATTATAATCTCTGGTGTAATTTTCGTGCCCGTGCAGCAATACCCATCTCTGTTCCATTGTAAACCTGCATATAATCTATTAATGGGCCAGCGACGGAATCATGTTCCTGCATACAAAGCCACAAACATGCGTATTCTGGAATTTAAAGGAGAGTATGTCCAAATGAATTAGGCCAGCTTCTGGTTCTTAGAACAGGCAAACTTCCTCATTAACGATGATCCCGGCTTCATGTTTGTAAAATGCACTTGTCATCCTGATATATTAACTTTTGCTGTTCTTCTATAATTTTAAACTTCAGTAAAATTTCGGTTTTTAGTTCTGTTCCTTGACAATGACTGTATGTAGGCATATACTCTGCTCTTGTCATGACAAACATCTTCCAGACGTTAATTAAAGGAGCCTATGCCAATTTCGCAGAAGGTTTCACCTATAAATACAACCCATTTTCCTTATCCGTCCTTTTGTCGCAAATAAATGATAGCATTTTTAAGAATTTCGACTACATTTTACTTTGTAGTTTCATCACGGAAACACTGTGAGTTTATTGTCCCAAATTTGCCAAATCTTACATTATGACAGCTTTTCATCAGCATCACTAAGGTTTAATGACTTCTTATTAACCTAACTCGATTTGAAATTTACGTTTGTTCGCGAATCCACGTACCGTGAATATACTTCATTAATATTTGCTACTCTGATGTTTCTGATAACCATGTTGACGACGCTTTTCCCCTTTACATATTCATAGCCTTTCTGTTACTTGCATCAACATTAAATAGTCACCTGTGGCGCTAACGATTGACCTTAAGTTAAATCAGCTTAGTCAAAACTCAGATCTGAGTCTGAAAGAACTGTGACTTCTTCACGGTTCCTGAGAAATTGCTTACTATATACCACTTGATGGGCTTCGACATGCCCAATTTAGACAGAGTTTTTGAATACCTACATTACCTCAATTCATGTCTTGTTTTTTTTCAAGATCTAAATAGCCTTCTTTAATAAAAACATGTTGGGACTGCACCACACCATCCAGCATCCAGCGGCTTAGCTTAGCGTTGTCACTGTTAATTAGAAGCAGCCTTTATTGAAAAATCCGCCACCAATGACTAGTCTGACTTATTACCGGTGATAGTTCCAGCCATCCGCAACACGGTAAAGAAAACTATAGGCAAGTTGCTCATTCCCCCCAGTCTTTTCCATGTCGGTGACGTCATAAACCTTTCCAACCACCGTAAAGTAGTAAAACAGCAACAAATTTTCACATTTGAAAAAAAGGATCTCTTGATGCTGCAGGCGCAGCCTTCACAAACGAGAACAGCGACAAACTTTCCCAACTCCCCTGTATTCGCACCCTGTCCTACCTCCCGTTTTAGCTGACCCCTGAGACCACTAGTCCACTTTAAGGATTCTGTTCTGAAATTTTAGGGCGTTTGCCGTGTCTCTGCCAACACTCTCGGTAGGGGGAGATGCATTTTTAGTAAACGTATATCAAACAAGCGTGAGTGAAGCATTCGTGACTTTATCGAATATTCAAGGATTGCTCTAAAAGACGTAAATGGTCAGATGTAAATAAATCAATTTATTCGCTATCACATGCCTTGCCTTTCTTCTCGGGCTGTTACGGACTGACAACTAGCAGGGTTGCAAGGTAATGCGAACGACGCCGCTACGTGTGCATTCAACCTCAAGTGTAACAGCGCGCTACGGAAAGCCATCTCGACATTGCTCTAGCCTCTTGCATTGTCAATTGTCTTCCCACGTTGCTGAATGTTTCACCGTGGTGAAGATTGCCCACTCGTCTCAGGCTGCAAACGTTCGTGTATTTTTTGACCGTCAGTCCCTCCATTGTAGTTCAGTTATCTCTATTATTTTATCTGCGATGCCGATCCATAATGTAGACTGATAGGAAAACAACGCGGTAAGAGAACATTAATGCTGTAGATGTTCCCTGCAAACACGATCACACAATCCTCCAAAGTATTTTTTCGTATCACAGTCCCAAACCTACTCCATTTCGCGCATCACTAACTCATTTCTAAGCTATAAATTTCATATTCGTTAGCTGCGACAGTCAGCCGATTCCCTAAATAAACGTTTCTGAACGAGAATAGGTTACCAAGTGATGAGTTACCGTCTCGATATTTTGCATCCACATTTTTTGTTGTGGATGAAAAACAAATTGATGTTGTCCTCTTTGAAGTCAATTCATTCAGGTCAAATCACACAGCTAGAAGGTTACTGTCACACAACATCGTTTTCACACAAACAACTGGTATCTAAGCATTCACACAAAATTCTCTTTGGCACGATCTTGCGTTCGAAACATTTTTGTGACAGTAAAGACCGTCCCACAGACGTTAGTTGTTCCCTATACCAAGAAGAGTCTGACGTGCCAAGCAATGGGTTTAAACTTGCAGCATGCATACTTGCATTACCGTAGTAGGTTAAAGCCTAACACGACTCTAAGCTTTCTCTGCGTCCTATTAACTGTTCTATTTAATCCCACTTCTGACCTTCAGTCGTTTCCCTTGACAATGATGAGAGTTAGAATTATAATCCACCTCCGTTAAAACAAAAAATATATATTTAACGTTATGTTGAAAAGCCATTGTCAGAGGTGCTTGAGGATTCACGTAGAAATGTAATCCCTTTAATTCTTATCCGTCAATCAACCAGAGGTTAGTTGTAACCTCTTCGCGGGTGCAGCTCCCAATTCTCCTTGCGGTCTTATCACAGAACAAGTTGTAATTTTGTGGTTTTGTTCTCCAAATGTGCACCCATCTTTTGATGTAGCACCATACGAAGAGCCACCTAGACACCACTCCACTGCTGAATTTCCTTCAGTAGTAAAATTAGCTGACTGCATGCCCTCTTATCATTTTTGACCATGTATTGGGCCGGTTCGATCCCTCGCCTTCAGGCTCAAATTACATCTTTTGAATTGGTGCTTTTGCGTTTAATCCCTAAGATTCCTGAAAATGTCAATTATCCCTTTTTCCGCATTCTTCCAACAAAATTTGTGCAATTTATCGTCAACATTTTTCCAAATCAACTTTGACCTTGAGTAAAATGTCAACTTCACGTAGCACCTTTGTAAAAATTTAATCAGCTTGTGTGGCTACCTGAGTAATGAGGTATAAAACTAATCTTTACAAATTATCCACCATATAAATACTCCGACAAGCAGTTGACAAAGACGTCTCCATGCGTATTCGGCGATGTTAGACATTAGTTTATCAATAAAGCCACAAATCTTTTGTACAGCAGCCTGTTAACAGCGTAAACAAGCACAAGGAGGAGGTGGTTTAAAAAATGCGTCTACTGAATTTCCTCAAACACCCATTTTGAGTAAACGATGGGATCGGGATTCCGTTATGACCTTACGATGCCAATTACAGTCAAAGAAATCGGGATTCACCGTCTAGACACTGAAATAGAGTCTTCGATCACAGCTCTGTGTGAATCGTTCCTGCTAATGACTGACTCCCACCAAATTGTAGATGCCTTAATATGAGATTCTAAACTGTGCCTGACACAATGACCAAAATTAATAACCAAATACCATCATGAGAGTGTTGGTGTAGGGTAGCAATTCACAGGACTACATTTTGACATTATTGTTTGATGACTATGAGGGAAAAGACTGCACGACTATTTTGACAACAATTTTCTGGCAGCTTCTATCAAAAATCATTTATGGACCAGCGTGGGTAGTCACAATTGACCTACACGTGAGGTTTCAGTGTTTACTAAACCTGCAATTACGCAGGCACGCCTAAGAAAACGTGTCAAGGCCAATGAGATTACGGCATTTGTAGCAGTGCGCAGACGTTCGCTAATCCCCCTAAACATAATCGCACAATCCTCGAAGAGCATGTTTTTCAGCTTATTTGGCTGCATCAGCCGATTGTGTCAAGTTGCAAATAGCAACACACATCGACTTCAGCGTTCAAATCATAGAACACCATGTCGGATTGGCTCAACAATTCTGACCCATGCTAGTTCATAGACAAAACACGCATGAGTCACTGTCGACGGCTGACCCATGTCATGCGGCATGAGCAGTCTGGACCTCAACCCGCCAACGGGATTGTCTTGTGGACTGGCAGCGATCGAGCGTGAGTGTCAATGACTCACTCTTTTTCGCTAGTAGTCGACTGGCCTTCACGTTCACACAGTCGAACACTCACAACCTTGGTAGACGTCTCCTGTTACTGCTGTCGGTTTGCTAGTGCCTGATCTGCTTAAATCCGTGATCTCTTTCGACTTTTCACAGCTTGCTAAGACCTGCTAATCGGCGAAGTTGCAAGGCATTATACTGATGCGGAATTCATGATTAGACGTGGTAGCGCTAAGTTAATTAACAATAAACGATTGTCTAAACTACACAAATCATAACTCTCGACCGGATTCCGATTTGGCACTGACCTCTTTAGTTCCTGACTGGTCAAAACATTTCGAAGTTGCTCGGCTGACTGCCCGCGGCTCTCCTAGAACTTATTCTGCCAAATCTGTTCTTCGACCAAATGCGTGTATTTTACCAGAACGATAGCATCTTCCTCTAGTTCCTGCATTTAAGGCGTAAGCAGCATGAGTAGCCTTGATCTCAACCAACAGACATGAGTGTGTGGTCGGATGGCAGCGATCGCGCGTGGGTGACGCCTGTTTACTGACAAATTTGTGTCGATGACTCACCCGTTTCTCATTCCCTTTGTTAGCTGTTGGCTGCTCCTCACGATCGCACAGCTTGGCTGACCTCTCTTGTTTCTGGTTTTGGTTTGCTACTGCCTGTTAACCAGCAAGGTTGCATGTCATAATATTGACATAAAATTCATGATCAGACGTGTAGCTGTTCTAAACTACACAAACCATAACCACCCGCCAGATTCCAATTTGGCATTGTCCTCTCTGGATCCTGAGTGGTCAGGTCATTAGGAGGTTGCTCGGCCGACTGCCTGCGGCTCTCCTAGAACTTATTCTGCCAAATCTCTTCTTCGACCAAATGCGTGTAACTTACCAAAACGATAGCACCTTCCTCTAGTTCCTGCATTCAAGGCGTTTGCAATGAGCTAGAGCAAACCACTGGACATTCACAAGCCAAATTCTAGGATCTATCACAACGAGTCTGCTAGAGTATTGACAGGCGTCAAGTCCCGAAAGAGTGTTCAAGCCTACCTCAGTAAGATTCAATCGAAATCACGGAATTACTGTAAGGCATAACGAACCCTTAAGCAGTTAGTCCGTCCGTAGAATCAAGAAGACGATAAGTTAAGCAGAAAACTTTACCTCAGCTATATTGTTGATTTAAAACTTTTAACATGTGAAAATATGATAGGATAACGAAAGCAGACATTTACTTTAATTGTGACCTGTCAGAAGGTGGCTGTTCCAAGAGCGTGTTCAATTTATCCATTGTTCTTCTTATTTCATCTAAGACCATATCGATGGCCCTTTTCGCTTTAGCTACTCGCAATTGCGAGATCTGATGTTCAGGTGCTGGTGCTGCTGGTGCTTCAGATTCCTCGTGCACAAGATCAGCCAAATCCGCCAGTTTGTCGAGAGGCGTGTCCTGACCAATCACCCCGAGGATGTGCCTTGTCTTCCCTGGTAGTCGCTTTATCCACGTCTGGCACAGTTCTCCTTCATCGAGCAAGTCCTCGGCCACCTCTCGCATCCTCATTAAAAGTTCTGACGGCGGCAGGTCGGCTAATCGATAATAAGACAATTCGTGTCGAATGCGCGCTCTGCGAATTTCGGTCAGTCGTGTGATAACTCCGTGTTTCAATTGGTCATATGGGTTCTCTTCTGGAACGGCTTTGAGCAGATCAATGACTTCAAACGCTTTATTTTCAGGTAGTTCTGACAAAGCAAAATAATACTTGTCCAGTTGCGAAGTTATGCCTTGAAGATAAAAACGAGCCTCAAGTTTCAAGAACCATATTTCTGGATGGTGCATCCTGAATGCATTGTAGCGGTTATAGTAGGGTCTCACGTTCATTTTGGAGTGTTGGCTATCCGATAGTTGAGTTGTTGGTGACGCTGACCTCCTCACCCGCTAGACAGCCGTCTGCTTGCCGGCGTTTATAGTCCGTTTAAAATATCGACTTGCCCGTGAACCACCAATGAGGTTGCTGTTTGCCACATTCGATTTTGATTCGCTGTTGTTGCAGATGACTGGACGCGCGACGTGACGCATAAGGGACCGTGCGTTGTAAGAAGTAAATATTGGTGTCGTGACGGTCTAGCGACATGATGAATCGCGACTGTTTAACTCGTTGGTGCTCCCCTTAAGTGCTAGTGAATGCCATCCCTCCCGTGTCACCTGTCAAACAATTATGAGCAGATCAACTTCAACAGTGATGTGATTTTAATATGATTCTTGGCCGGATGCTTTTCATTCTAGTGTGGTCTTGGGTTTTCATTCATGACTTGGGTTCAGGTTGGTCCTGTATACGCGCAGAAGCACAGGCCAATGAGCGTAGTGGTCATGGGGCAAGATCCGTTTGGCATTGAACTACGAGGGCATTTGCAGCACTTAATCGCAGCCCACACCACACGCTCTTGCAACATTGGCAGTTCAGCTCAAAGCACAATGAAAACACCGCTCTCGAAGAAAACGTAGTTTTTGTCTCCAGACGATAACGTAACTTGTCCAAAGTACTCGCAAGTATTCTCTATTTTAACGGACAAGGAAGAATTGCAAGTACGTAAGCACGATCAAAAAGAGAATGTAAGAAATAACAGGGCAAAACAACTGCTTCTGGCAAACATATATTCAGATCCCACGTCCAGCAAGATATTGTGGCTAGAATGAAATTTCCATTTACTGTTGGTCATGGAACAGATGTTTTGTTGTCACAGCTAGACGAAGACCAGTGCAGGACGCAGTCGAAAGCACCAACTGCTCAGTGGGAGTCGGAGTTGCTGATTCCATCAAACTCTGCACATCCACTGGAGTCATTGATGCTAATTGGCGACACGTGACCACTAACCTCAGAAACTGGGCGTCAATTAAACGCGACAGTCAGCGATCTGCGCAAACGATGTCCTTCAATTTATTCGCACTCTAACCTACTAGGTACCATACGAATCAGTTTTATCCTCTATGGATTTATCTAAGCATTTACACAAACAAGGCTTTTTTTAAATTTCTGCAGTCAATAGGCCCACAAAACCACAATAGGCTCTTTAGCAAAATCCATTCAACGTCAATCGACGAAACAGTTTCACGGTCTCAACTCTCCACTCCAGGCAAAATAAGCAGATTTATTTTAACGGTTAAAATCCACACGAGTATTACAAAGACTGATTACGCTTCGTTGATCCTTTGAACATGCTCAACGATAAATTGCACCTTGCGCACTTCTAAAATCAACTAAAATAGTGCAGTTTGTACGACAGATCTGTTGAACAATACCACTCATCCATCATCTTTGACTGGTTACCTGCAATATCTCCAAAATGGATTTACGAGAAGAGATAACACTGGACAATTGCGTCCACCAAGATCAGGCTGCAACACTCCACAAAGCCTCCGAGGTGGTGTTAACAACACAGACATGAATATGTTTTCAATCTACCTAGATTGGAAGTTTTTACTCAAAAACTTGATAGCGCAAGTGTGTATTACAAAACGATCTAAACTCAGCAATTGGGGAAGCATCAGGTATTTAGCAATCTCAATACATTTTCCAGTGTACGCGCATTTCCACATTTACAAATTTGCCCTCATATTCCTACAAAGCCTGTGGAACACATCTTAGATTGCCTTCAGTAGCTAAGAAGGCTTCTAGTTACTATTGGCATTGGGCAAAACGCTTCTAAGCCGATTTCTCCGTTTATTAGCGGTAACCGTGTTCAAAGTCTCGTGGGTGGAGCTGCAAGTGACCGTCCCAAAAATCGAAATGATTGCGACTTGAACACAAACCACCATCTAAGAAGGTGTCTGCTCTGCGAAACGGTTAATGATGCCATGCGAGATTTCGTTTTTGTTAGCTATTGTTAACTCTAGGGCCTACTTTAGATGTTAGGTTCTCCGTGAGCCTCAAACACTTAAAGTGATGTGCTCTTACATGTGAATTCCGGTGAATGACAGGGACGAAAATCAAGCGCTTAGTACCCACAAGTTGCATTCATGGAATGCTTACTATGAGCAGAAACTATTTGCAAAGATCCAAGTTAGACCGTACCTCGGTCAACATGTCAACGCTTAAGCCCTACCAAGAACTGCCGTTTAATTCAGCAAGCCCGCTGGTTCTCACACAAGTGTAAATTAGGAATTCCCGACAGTTGTATGTCTTTAATGGTTTGTTTAAATGATTATTTCCTGCGAAGGTTACAACCCAATCTAGACTAAAACATGACATTTAGTACACAATTGACAGCCCCTTAACAATGGTTTAGACAGCAGGAATTTTGAATTACCATGGTGATGGATATTTGTGCCGGTGATATCTATGTCGGACAGCGGAATCGCGCATGCATAAGCGCGCGTCACTCAAGCGATGGCAGAATGTCGAAACATTACTTCTGACAATTTAAACCGACGCATTCCCCTCCCCTTCCCACACACAAGGCTCTTGCGAAGATGAAATCAGCCTCCGTGTTTGTCCTGCTCGTTTGCCTTTGTTTCCTGCCTGCATCGGCAGTGTGGTTCAACTATTCCGGTGTCAGCATTAACAATTTAATGGAGCGCAGTTTTAAGCACGAGGTCAATTCCTTCGAAGAGTGCATTGCCAGTTGCCAAAATCGCGGTCATCCGTACGATTCTGGGGTTTTCGACTCAAGAAACGTAAGCTCCCATTCGCTCTTTATGTTGTTGCATGACTCTAGTCAGAGATAATTCGCTGGTTGGTTAGTATCGTCACTTTTCTTAGCGCTTGCAAAAGTGAATCGATGTATTGAAACATAACTGGATAAGAGGTGTATCGGGTGTTACTATCTAGGCGACAAGAATTTTAACTGACTGCTCCTTTAAATGCTTCGTTAGAATAAAATTGATGTCCATGAGGGAATCATTTTCTCAATCTTTCCAAGTAAATGTTTCTCTTTTTGTAGGGAATTTGTCACTGCGGAGTTCTTGTAAACGCAAGTCGTGCAGGTTATCCAATTCCTGACACTAACTGCAAGTCCTTCAAGTTTGAAATGGGTAAGTTTGTTTCTCAAGAACATACAAATGTGGTGGGTTTCTAAAATCGAGTCCAAAGATTGGCGCAAGAGAACTCACCCTATCACTCACACTAATCGACTTTATTCATTTAAAATTTTGCATAAGACTTTAAAAAAACCCCTTATTCTTGATGCAAATTGAGACGGCATGTCCTGACTCGTGTGATTTCGAGGTGGTTACTCCAGTCGTGACTGTTGTATAATTTGGCATAATTTGCACCAAGTAACCTACTTTGCTAATTATTGGCTGCAACATTATTATGCATTAACGGATTTCACAAATTAGACTTTTTGACCAAACACAGGTTACGACTGCATCTGTCGACAAATGACACTATTGAACATGAAGGCGCCAGTTAATACCTTCCCTTCGACCGACGTACACCACTGCGGGGGAATGTGCCTGCGATTTAACAGGCTGTCCAACGTCGCAATTTTCTACTCAACTATTGTACGTCATTGCATTTTAATACATTCCCTTTTGAAACGGCTTCATGCGTATATATATGATAACAAGCAAGGAATCTTGACAACTATCGGAGAGTTTGATTTGAAAAAAAGTGTTATCGTGAATGACATTATAAGCCTATCGTACCAATAACAGCATATGGTTCCGTGTTAGAGGCACAATTTAGTAAGCACACCCTAAAAACGTAGAAATCTTCCGTGAGGTGAAATATTGGGTTTTTCTTACTAACAGGCAAAGACTATTTCCTTCTCGTCTACCTTCTTAGTTTGATACTGCCACGTGCTCTTTAGTAGAACACTGCTCTAAATTATCGCAGTTAACCCCAAATTTGTGTGCTGCTAAAAATGTAATGTAGTAAAAATATTATTAGACCAGAATTTGAGACCTGAAAAGGTGGGTTTATTATGATTTCGATGATGAGAGGAGACGTGATTAGGTTATTTCGGTAACTACCATTAACGAATGCTCCAGGCTGTAGAGAGTGTGGATGCATGTGTGCGCGGTTACCACAAAGAACAACTAAAGTTTTTTTTTAAAATAATCTAGACGGCGCATGAGTTTTCAATTTCAGGTTGATTAAGTCATGATTAAAGATGGCTGCGCACGCAAGAGGTTCTACTTTTTGAAGTAAAGAAAAGGAGTAAGTGCGATTGCCGATAATAATTACAATCAGTAAATCTAATTAAACGCTTCTGGTGCAAAATTTGTCCATAAAATTGAGTCTATTTCCTTAGTTAGATCTATATGAAATTCAGATGCAATTTAACATAGAGTATTTTGCTTGTAGAACAGATGCACGTGTTACGAAGCAAGCGCAGACCTCTTCTCCATCGAACTGATTCCGAGCACCAGACCCGGTGTGACGCTGAAATCTTTCTGCTTGCAGTGTAGGTTTGGGCTGTTGCAATCACCTTCCAAATTATATTCCGACGATCAGTTACTAGCAGGATTTTAATTAACGCCGACAATTAAGCCGGCTGCTAACCTCACAAAACATGTTTTAACGAAATCTAGTGTGAACATTTATTTCGTCAAGGTAATGTTTACGACAATTGTGACAACAGATCACGCAGTCAAGTTGAAAAGAATATACACTTCACCTCAGGTTTATTCTCTTTTACACGGACCTCGGTCGTGTAACTTCACATCTTGTGCTTCCTTTAATTTTAGTGGCAAACATGTGTCGTAAGTAAATCGCTCGTAAATGTCTGCCTTTTGTGAGTGTGTGTGTGTGTGTGCATTATTTGTGGAGTTTGCATGTGGTAGACAACAGAGTAGGCAGACAAGCTTGATCACTTTCCTTGATCTGAATTGACTTCCCTTTTCCACTGCACCTATTCAAACCCACATCATGTGCACGC